CAGCTTGGTGTGGCCCAGGAAGGCACAGGATGTGGTCCTGGGGATCGAACTGGGGTCCTTCCACTTACCAGGCAGGGGCTTAGACCACCAAGCTATCTCGCTAGCCCTGCATGGGTTTTTTTATACACCAAATGTGAATGAACGTAAGATTCTCTATGGGTTTTCTCTAATGGAAAGGTGGCATTTTCTAGGATGTAATTGACGTAGTCTAAGTTCTTTCTGTTCATAAAACCGAAGCTAGCATACAATGCTTTTTCCTTCCCACATTTTAACCTCAACAGCGGCACAAGAGTAGAGACACAAGTCTGAGCCGTGCTCATTTGTGTTGCGCTTTCAGGTAACAATCTACCTTGTGCCAACGCTGAATATATGACTTTGCCCATGCCTATGTATTTTCCATATGGACAAAAATTTTATAGTCTACATTTTTCCTTCTTTTTTTTTTCTTCAGTGTAGAGGAATCAAACCCAGGCCTTGCATATATGCTAGGCAGGTGCTTTACTACTGAGCTACATGCATACTACTTTATAATCAAAGTTTAAAAAAAATTTTTTTTCTTCTTTCACCTGCATCTAACTCTCTCAGAATCTCACATGGAGAGAGGGAGGGACTAGAAATATATATGTCACTTCCTCCAGTCAGTGGACAATTGACTGCTCTGTAAACAGAGGTGGGGGCTCAAGAGAACAGATTTTAGATGATGCCAACTGATATGCATGTTTCATGGATTTGGGGCAAAAGGAACTGAAAGTGTGGCATAAATTCTGTTTACACTGTAAATTTCTGAGGAGATTTATGTCAGCGTTAGGAACACAGTGAGGTGTATGTTTACTAAATTTAATGTAACTTACTACATGTGCAGTAAAATTTTATTTGTGAATCTTCTAAATATATATCTCTGTTTATTGCCCAGATTTTTTACTCTTTGTCTATATTGCATCTTGAAATATTTGAATTCCCAGTTTTCCCTGTTGATTTCTTTCTCTTTGTATTTTCTCTTCTTTTCTTAGGTTCATCCAGTCTGATTTTAGCTACTGCAAAAGTCTCTAGCTCTAGTCTGGAGTCCCACTGAATCTCATTAGCTTCAGACCTTTAATTCCAATGACATACTGGCTTGTCTTAGATATCCCAGACCACTTTCAACTTAACAGAGTCACAATATAAGTCTTGACATTTCCTTCTAAATCTGTCCATATCTCATGGAATATCTGTCTCAATTAATCACGTCCCCATCACCTGAACTTAAATCCTTGGAGTCATGATTGTATCTTCCATGTCTTATACCAAATTATATTATTCCTATCTTTAAAGAAAATGACCACCAACTGTCTGTAAACCCACCCATGCTTACACAGTATCTTTGTCCCCTTATCCATGCCAATAGATTGCTTTTGTTTCTAGATACAAGGTGGAATCTCTTCCATTTGGGAAAAAGAAAAGCTCTTGATAAATCCATGGAAATCTCATTTCATTTCATTCAGACAGTGCTTTAGACAGGAGCTATGTTTTCCACTTTTCACCAGTAAATGATAGAATCTTCTGGAGCATCATTCCCAGAACTATAATCATAAAATAAATCTTAAATGTGACAGAGCAGGAGACCTACCTAGAAGTATAGAAAATGTCCAAGTCTCTGATGATATCCACATGCAGCTGACCACATTCAGACTGCATACAAAGGGAGCTAAGAGAGGCCATTGTTATACACAGCACTTAATTTGTGTTTATAGCTGAAAGCATTCCTGAGTTCTACACAAGGCTTCATGTTTCTTGCTATCTATTGTGCACCTACATTTGCACTTTCTTAATCTTACCTTATCCTTCACACTAAACATATGTTTTATTGATCACATAGGCTTACAGGTTCTCAACCATAAGAGACATTTTCTTCTTCATAATTCTGATGAGGAACTCTTTATGTTTCACTCAAATTTTACCCCATCCAGAAAGCTTTATTTTATCCACTAACGGTCCTTGATTATTCCTGCTGAAATCAGAATCTCCCTGGAAGACTGAACTGATTCTCTTCTACTTTACATAATATTTTGTAAACTTCATACGGTTTTACATGAAAATTTCACTGGTCTGAGGCACGAACAGTTAGTTGGTGGAAAACTATTTCTAAGTGTGTTTGTGATGTTCTTTCTAGGAAAAAATATGCATGGGAATCAGTAGATCAAATGATGTCAGCCTCTCCAAAGTGAGTAGGCATCATTACTCCACTGGGGGCTCGACAAAAATAAACAAGACAAAGGACAAGTTTACTCCTCTTGAGCTACGCGTCTATCTCCTGCTCTTGCACATTGGTGTCTGGCTCTTGAACCTGTGAACTTAGACTGGAACTTGTGCCATTGTTTCCCCTAGTTCTTAGGCATTTCATCTTGGTTTAGGCTACACTACTGGTTTTTCTGGGACAGCAGCTTGAAGTCAGCAGATCCAGGGACTGCTAAATCTCCAAAATTGTTTCAGCCAACCCTTCATAAGACATTCTTTTTTATTTTATTTATTTTATTTTTTGTTTTGTTTTTTATTTTTTGGCCAGCTCAGCCTGCCCTGAGGGTGGAGCTGGAGAAGCATGTGGTGCCTGGAATCGAACCAAGGTTCCCTGCACCTGCCTAAGCTTGCCTAAGAAGGTACTTTAGGCTGCTGAGCTATCTTGCTGGCCCCAAGACATACATTCTTCATTCTTGCATCTGTCCTATTGGTGCTGTTTCTCTGGAGATTTCTAATTAAAGTACATATTGGGTTGCATTTGGCTTTATTACACTAGACATTGAGTATCAAAACTCAAGATCATCGTTGTGTTCCTAGACCCTGAAACAGTAGTTTTTACATCAAAGGCACTCAGGTAATGCTTGTTTGTTTTTCAGTTATTTT